AGAGTTGAGGACCCACTAACTGTGATGATGTAATGGTATCAACAGGCCCTGTATCATGATCCTTGATTCTCTGGAGATTCGTCGCGGAGCCATAGTGACCAGGATTAACAAGTCAGACTCCTGTTTTGAGAAATGAACGACCTTTACTTCCCATCCCCCTGTCTCCCTCTCTCTCTTTCTCTCTCTCCCTTCCCTCCTATTGACTTCCTCTCTATATAGCTACCTCACCGAGGAGTGGGGGGTAAAGAAGAAAGATTGCTCTCCCGTCAAGTTCAAACTAAAGGCTGTCCACCCAAAAGTAAGCCACAACATAATACATGCTGAGGACATTTGAGGACAGCCACATGTGCAGAGTAGCTAAAGCCCCTCTTTCTGCACTTCATATCCTAGTGATAAACTACAGTTGATTACATTGTCTCCCTCCCTGCCTCAGTTACTGCCCCAGAACAACTCTTGTGACTGTGGAGTGTTTGTACTGCAGTATGTGGAGAGTCTCTTCCAGGTTAGTATATAGTAGTCCCACCTCCAACTGAAGTGGTCAGAGTCAGAGTGAGCCAACCCTCAATATACAACTCTTGCCGGTTTTCCTCTTCAAATATGTTCTAAATGTCCTTATAGAGCAAACCGGCAAGAGTTGTATATTGAGGGTTGGCTCACTCTGGCTCTGACCCCTTCAATTATCCTCCTTGGTTTATCATCATAAGAACATTCGTGTCCATATCTACTCGGCATAAAACACTTCCTGGTGCATTGTCTCAGAGCATGCAGTAAAGTTGTTGTCTGTTCAGACTTGAAATTGTTACAATTGGCCAGACATCCAGGAAGTTCTGCAAACCATGCCATTTTACAGTAGTACATTCGATTTCCCACTCACTCTGCCTGGGCTAGACTGTGATGATGTAATGATGATGTAATCCCTCCCCATCCCAGTGTCTCAAGGCAGGCCACTTGCCACCAGCCATGCCGGATGACTGGGCCAGCTACCACCAGACTCAGAACAAGAGACATCAGCTAAAGTCTCTCATCACAAGACTGGGGGCGGAGAAAAACCACGCCCAGACCACGCCCCCTACCAGTCAAAACCACACCCACTCTTCCCCTCCTTCTCCTGAGCTTATTGACATTCCTCTAGACCCTCTTATGTGATGTAATGTACTCACATGATCTGATCTTTGGTCACATTATATGTCACATGATTAGTCACATGATCCCATATCACTTCCCTGTACCGTCATCCATCCTACAGCTGCCTTAATTATAATTCATCCGTGATAAGATTTTTAAGTATAATATTATTATAATACTCTGAAAGGAAGTGACATCATCTAACGAGGTTTCGATCAGAAATGTGTCTTAGCCAGGCCACACCCATAGTATGGGGCCCTGCCTCTTGGGATGCAGTTGACCAATCAGATCGCAGGAACCATGCGTTGCCGACCTTGGCTTGACTCATTTTGTTCACCACTGTCCTACAGAATGGAATCAAAGTTTTAGTAATTGATGCACAAGTATGCTCGTTTCATAATAAAAGCTATAAAACTGAAGAATTGCTGTGTTGAAACAGAGGTCACAACAGTGAATATATACCTGTTTTCCTTGATAGCAAAAGTATGCCAAACGTAGTAGTTGTTTCTCTGACCAGGGTCACAGATATAGCGACACACCTGGAGAGAGAAATGGGAGAAATAATAATAATTGTAATCTGGATTATTAGTGAATGGTCTAACGTGTACGTTGGAAGGTGGACACACTGAGACTACGAAATATGTCTTTGGTGTCCTAATAATACACGAAAGTATTAGCACCCTATGAAAACAAGTGTCCTTTATAGAGAGGTGTCCTTTATTCATGCCCCTTCCTAATGTGGTATGGTTAGGATCCAGATTGAACACTCTCTTGTTTGCTCACCACAGTCTCAGGCAGAAGCATGACAATAATCTCCCTGTCTGCAAGTCCGTAAACTGGTCTCTCTAAGTAGTCAATGTCTTTGCTCTTGTCAAAGTTGTACCATCTGTTAGTGAATGCAGTTGAGAGGAAGACTATAAGTGAGAATTGAAAATGGTTTATAGAAACCTCTCCATAATAGGTTTCAGAGCTATGGCATATAGCTATATACTCCTCTTTAATAGTTATGGAGATTTCGACACACTTGTATAAACCTCTCCATGCTAGGTTTCTGTAGCTACTATAGCTTTTAGTTTTAGAGATTTTGTATTCTGACCTGACATGAGCTCTTTCGAGGACTAGATTAATGTTGGCCTGGTCGTCAGTTGAGGAATGGTCTCTGCCCATTTCCCGGCTCATCAGCTCCCAGTAATACTCTGTGGGTGAGTGAGAGGGGGAGCGAGAGGAAATCAAGGAGAGGCGAAGAAGGAAAAGATGCCAGAGAGAAGGGCTAGGTTTAATAAAGAGTAGAACCAATTATTTCTCTAAGTTTTGAACGGGCCAATAGCAGATCATCATACACAGCACTGCCATGCAAGCTTCCCCTATGCATGGAAGTCAAATATAAAAAGTCCTCTGTCTAAGAGAGTTCAGAAAACTAAAGGCCATGTGAGAAAATTAATGTGCACCTATTTCCTCAACAATGGCCCTCTTTAATATATACCCACCAATCTTGGAGTTACTCCGGAGTAACATTACTCCAGTGTTGAGTGTGATACCCCACTTGACGTACAACTGTCCCGGCCCCTTCCCAAACGTTCCGATCAGATCGGCATCTTTATGCCCGTCAAAAATTGGTTGGGGATTCTTCAATAAGATTGCGTCGCAGTCGTAATTAACAACAGAGAAGCCATAATGGTTCAAAAGTCTGAGGACTGAAAGCCGCACAACGTGAACCTGAGAAAATCGTCTCGTCACGTTAGCCGAAGGGCTAATTACCATCTTCTCACTAACGAACAGGGTAGAAATGTTTCTGCCAGATATGAGGTCGAACACCGACTGGTCCAGAGTAAGAACCAAGACATTCTGTAGTGGTGGAGAGACGACTAGTGAAGCTGATATCAACCAGTTTAGCAGAACGTCTTGGTGCTCCACGCTGGCGGTCACCAGGGATACCTGGGTTCCTCGGACGCTTCTCAGTAAAGACTGCAAGTCCCTGATCCATTGAGATCGCAGTAGCTCGTGTTTCCCCAGCGAGTAGTGAGGGAGCGGGAAATTGAACGGTTCGCGGATCGTAAAGTCCGTGCCGGGCACTCTCGGGTTCAATGCGGGTTTCCACACTGCAGGCTCATTGGCCCCGTCCAAACGTCTTCTATCGTCGACTCTCTTCACGGTCTCTCGCTTCTCTACTCTTTCTGCTTCTTGAGCCAGAAGCTGGCTTGCCGCTCTATTTTCTGCAGCCTTCAGTAACAAGGCCACGTAGTCGTCATCATAGCGATGCTCCGAAGGAGTAGAGAACAGCGCAGCGTAGATCGCCGCTCCCCAAACCATCGACACTAGGACCAGCACTAGCGTCCGTGCCGATAGTCGCATCATTTTTTCGCCGTCTCTCTGCTGTCTCGTACCTGGCGGAGCTGCCGGCGTTACAGAGTTCTGCACTAGCACCACAATGACCGAGGCTGGTTGAGACCACGGCAACTGGTGGCATTTTCACCCTTCCTTGGACACAGGAGCGAACGTCTGGAACGAAAGAGCTACGCCCCCACACATGCGAATACGCATGCGCAATATCCGCCGCTTGTATAGCTCGCGCATAGGTATCTCACACTCTGACGGTGGTAATGATGACTGCTGATCTGAACATACATGACATAAAAAACAACTCGTGATAGATTTGCCCTGAAAAAGGCGCTATGCTCCCTAATTAAAGCCTCCTCCTTCTCTCTCCCTCTCTCGAACAGGAACCATCTTCTCCTGCGCAGACTCCTCGGACGACATTTTAAACCCTCCCTCTTCCTCTTCTCCACGTCTGTCTCTCCCTCTCTCCAGCAGAGACAGGGTGCTCTTTCTCCTGGAGTGAGGGCTGGCTCTCTCACTCCTTCTCCGTCGACGACGCTTCCGGTTGGCAGGGGACACCTCTCCCCTCGGTCCCTGGAGGTCCAGTGAGGATTCAGAGCTTCTTCTTGGATTTGGTCCGCTCCTCAACGTCTCTCTCTCCTCCCTCTTTCTCTCCCTCTCATCCTCCTCCCCCACTCCCGCCTGTCTGCTGTAGTTCCTCTGCTCTTTGCCCTCAGGTTCTCCCTGTCTCTTTCTCTCTCCTCCCCCTCCTCCTTCCCCAACACCCTCCCCGCTCATCCCATAATTCGGGACACTCTGCGAGAAACCAACACTCCTTCTGCCGGCCTCGATCTCCACGTGGGCACTCGTTTGATTACCATGGCAACCGTTGCCCCGGAGATCCTTCTCCCGACGGTCGTCACGGAGATTACGCCCGCCCCAATAGGGGAGAGGCCCCTCGTGACAAGAGTCGTAACGAGACAGGGAGAGAGAGGAGGCAGCCTTCATCTCGGTGGAGGTCCCTCCGTAACGACGTATTTTGAGTCTGTAAGAGTCAGAGAGTATTCCAACGCAGTCGGATGCTGACTCAGCAGCAGAAGATTCCAGAAGACCTCGCACCTTCCAGTTTATGTCCCCAGGCTCTGTACTAGACTCCACCTACAGACGTGGGTAACACAACACAGCCTTTATCGACACTACATTGGTCAAATGTATACATCAGCTTCAGACAATGCACTGGCAGTGGAACTTCTTAAGTGCACAGATTTCACTGGGGAACATGCGTCAATAGACTAACTGCGAGTTACTATATACAAGATAACCTGTGGTCTAATTTTTGGGAGTGGTCAAACTCCTGCACCGTGACGGAGTCCAGTGCACCAGGTACACTATCAGACAATTCCCTGGAACCCATGGTTTACACATACACTCTCTCTCTCTCTGTTTCTTTGGCTGGTATGCTATATATGCACTATATTCACACATACGGACGGAGTCCGGTGACTCCAGTGCACCAGGTATATACTATCAGACAATTCCAATGGTTTACACATACACACACTCTCTCTCTGTTTCTTTGGCTGGTATGCTATATATGCACTATATTCACACATACGGACGGAGTCCGGTGACTCCAGTACACCAGGTGTACACTATCAGACAATTCCAATGGTTTACACATACACTCTCTCTCTCTCTGTTTCTTTGGCTGGTATGCACTATAATGTCACACATACGAGTGCGACTTATGTAAACAGACCTTGGTGGTGGCGACACTGTAGAGTCTCTCTATGGACCTCTCTCTCCTCTGCTCCTGCGTCCTCTCCTTGAACTTCTTCTCCTCCGGATGTTTGAGGTTGTAGATGAATATCCCCGCGACCACCAGACAGAACCCCATGATGTAGAAGCCTGAGAACTGCCACCAGTCAAAGGACATGATCGAGAGAGACAAACACATACATACGTAAATACACCCACATATTATTAATGATTACAAATTATTTGGCTTTTGATTGCCATAATCAACTCGGCAGCCAGCTGCATCGTACCTTCACAAAAATATTTTGGATAGTGGGCAATATATGGAGGTGCTAAATAGTACATATACTGCAGCTACTATATTATACTACCAGAGATATTGCCATGGTAATTGGGCATTTAGACCGGAGCATTCCATTCTCAGCACGCAGAGTAAGTACATGTCTGTTGTCTGAGAAGCTGTAAAACATACTACAAACATGTAGAATGATTTGCTAGAGCTCCTGCAAGAAATCTGTAAAAGAAAAACTTATCCTTTACCAAATCAAATTCTCCCCTGTCAGAGTTTTCTAGTTTACCACGGATGAAAAACGTTTTGAAATTTGTTAGTAAACATAATTTGTGGGAAAACTGAAGTTGACTATTTTAAACCAGGGAAATTTGCAGCTCTAAAGTATTATGGTTGTTGGTATATATGTATGAATAAAAACAGCAGGAGGCCGGGAAAAAAACAACCGCCCAGCAAACTGTGCAAATTTCCGTGATTGGGATTCGATATGTAGTGTAGGCAGAGTGCTCTACCCCTGAGCTACATGTACCAGGGCAGCTCAGGAGGCTAGGGAGCTCCAATCTACATTACAAGGCAAACTACAGGAACAAGGTGGCAGAGAATGTCGCTCACGTTGTAGTCAAATAGAAAGATGCCGAAAATGAGAGAATAAAAGTCGGCAGTTAGGAGAGAGAGGTTGAAGACGACGGCACTGGACATCCGGATCACCCAGGGAGCCACAGAGTAGAAGAGGAAGAGAGAGACACCAAATCCAGAGAAGAGGCCACCCACCGCCGGACTCCACTCTATTCTGGCAATGTTCATCCTCTCTAGAGCCAAGCTGCAGGGGAGAGAGAGAGAGAGAGGGAGGGGGCATTGTGTCAGTGTCTGTGTGTGTGAGAACTTTCAAAATTCTGTAGCTAATGCGAGAATTCTGCAGAGATTGCTTCACAGTCTCAGCCCACAAAAATTGTGCATTTTTGCAAAGAAAAGTTTTGCAGGGGGCTCTAAAACACAAATTATTACTATTCTCCTTTCAGCTAATAATAAGAAGAGTGAAACAACAACATATAATGAACCAGATATGTGACTGAGGCTGAATCAACTAGAAACTCATCAACATATACCCTATTACGTACAGTCCTATACTGTTTTGAATTTGAATGAAAATGAACAGAAAAACTGGAGCATCGACAGGAGAGCTCTCTATAGACTCCACTCACAGCTGAACACCGGAGACAAAGCTTCCCACCACTCCGATGAAGCCGAGGTACTCGAGGATGGTGTGACTCTTGACCAGGTACTCCTGGGTGACGTTCCCTGCTGCGTACAACACTGCCCCAATCAGACACAGCATGTCCCCCAGCCACACCGCTGAGCCTGGGAGAGAGAGAGAGTTGACTGCTTACTAAAGGTATGTTGAATCATAAAGTCCAGCTATTCTATAGTCAAGGCAATTTAAAGCGTTCACTTGCTTCGTAAATCGACAGTCATTTTTAAGAACTTAGAGCATTTTGACTGCACAGTCCAGCTATAGCCAAGGTATTCAGGATTGTTGGTTGGCCTGTCCTTCCCTCCACTTGCTTGCTAAAAGTACGAAAAGGTCGCCATATTTTCCCTCCCTGGTAAATATATACCTCCATTGTTCCTGGAGCTGTTGAAGTCAGCGAAGACAAGACATGTAATTCCAATGACGGTGAGGAGGACCCCCATAATATTGATCAATTTGTAGCGAGTCTTAAGGAACACGAATGAGAGTACCATCACGACCACTATAGTGAAACAGTCCAGCAGCTGGGGGGAGGAAGGGAGGGGAGAAGAGAAGAAAGAGAAGAGGAAGAGGGAGAAAACATCACGATTGTTTCTACAGGTGTGTGTGTGTGTGTAAGTTTATTTTCAATGACCTGAAACAGTAGCCAGTGTCAGTCTTTACATTGTGCGTCAGTCATGTTTTCACGTTGGTGCCTCTAGTGGCATTAGCACCATGGGATGTAGTTCATAAGTGGTACTCATGGCAGTGCACTCCCGGTTCCACTTATCAACAGCCTCCCTACATAGTGACTGTTCTGCTAAAGCTGTGCTAATAAGGGGTCCTCATGGGGACATCGTCTTCGGGAGGTGTAATTGAGATACAAGGGAACAACGTGTTTTGTACATGAACTACAAGAGAACAATACGTTTATCTGTAGTCAGGTAAAGAGACGGGAGTACCGGCTCTTCAGCCTTGTAGCTGCCCTGGCCCTCATCACCTTTTCAGGCAGTGAACACCTTCTCACAGTAGAGATCTATCTCCTTACCCTGTTCCTCCCAATACTCTTGTTTACCCACCATATTCCACATACTCAATGTACCTACCCTCTTCCCACAGAACAGAGAGTTGGACTCATACATACATACATAATGCTATAGAGGAATGAACCCATTTTTGGCGAGCGAAGCGTTTCACATATGCGTATTTAGAATCACGTACAGAAGTATATAACATTACGGTATGTGGCAGTGCCAGAACATAAAAAGTATAAAAAGTTGGCATTCAGACCACCAGGTGGGTTAGCTCTGCTCGCCAATTATACACACACACACAAGTGATGTATGGTTCTGTGCCTGTATGATGTATGGTTCTGTACCTGTATATATGATGTATGGCTCTATATACCTGTATATATGATGTATGGTTCTGCACCTGTATATATGATGTATGGCTCTACCTGTATGATGTATGGCTCTATATACCTGTATGATGTATGGCTCTATATACCTGTATGATGTATGGCTCTATATACCTGTATGATGTATGGCTCTATATACCTGTATGCTGGTGAGGTTGGTGTAGCGGTAGGCCAGGACTATGAGGAAGTTGGCCTCCACATCCACCACACCCAGAATGAGGTACTTCCACCAGTTGTACTTGAGGACCCTCAAGAACCTGGACTCAGGAGACACACGTGGACACAATGACACCACTCGTTGTATCACATTATTTGAGGTGGTGGTGTGTGTCATTCACAACACTGGCAGTTTTCTGTAGCACTAAACATGAGTTCAATAGACCGAATGTCTCACTAACAAATGACGCTGCGAGAAATAAGCCCTGTGAGCTAGTGCTAGAGCCAAATTGGTGCACACAATGGACAGAGTTTGGCATCAGTTCACACACGTTTACCCAAGCTAACTATTTTTCTTGTCGTAAACGATCCCTTTAGTCCCAAACTTGCATGCCCTGCACTAACGCTACACAAATGGAACAACTATTAGCTAATAAACACTCCTCCATACAAGTAATTGCTGGGGTCTCTCACCTCTTTTTCGTGGCGAAATGGACTCCGAAAGTGAGCCCCAGGAGGACGTAGTTGAGGAAGCATTGGGTGGTGGGGACGGAGATGTCGTAGTCTGTCACCAGGACCTGACTGGTGACTCCAGTCCCACAGAGACACAGGGAGAGAAACTGGCCCAGGAACACCGCACCCAGCACATACCTAGTGGGAGAAGAGGTATCATCTGTGACCTAGTAGGCAGCTAAGCAGCCGCAAAACCGCCCACGTATTGCGTTTCCCGCTTCTCCTCGCGAGGATCTCGCTGACCTCTGTTCCCAGGTACTTCTCTTCAGTCGCAGGAGGATCTCTCGAGTGTAGGACGAGGCCCGTGGCGGCTGCAGGCCCGACGACATAGCGGGGGCCGTGGAACCGAGAGGCGACCTCTACTGACGACGTGTCTCCTACACCGTAACACCTGTCCCTGGCTGCGGGCATGTAGCCTGACTCGCCGACATCCACAACCTATCCCCCTTGCGCTCCCGTGCCGTGTCCCCAGACAGAAAAAGCAGGTGCCAAAGTGGGATGGGCGATCTTGCGCTGGCGTGTTCTAATTTATGCACACCCACGTGGAGTAACGTATAATAATTATTATACAACCCAACACATTCTTTTTCTATTTCCAAACTATTCTGTGTGTGTCCTGTCGCTGTTCATATGGTCACTAGGGATCTCTCTCTCCCTGGTTTCAGTCTCGGTCTCAGTCTCGGTCTCAGTCTACGGCTTGCTTGACATTCAGTCATGTCTGTGGTTTGCTGTTGCTCAGTTTCCTCCACGTTATCCCTGGCAGTTTGTTGCTCAGTTTGCTCCACGTCATCCCTGGCAGTTTGTTGCTCAGTTTGCTCCACGTCATCCCTGGCAGTTTGTTGCTCAGTTTGCTCCACGTCATCCCTGGCAGTTTGTTGCTCAGTTTGCTCCACGTCATCCCTGGCAGTTTGTTCCTTAGTTTGTTGCTCAGTTTGTTGCTCAGTTTGCTCCACGTTATCCCTGGCAGTTTGTTGCTCAGTTTGTTGCTCAGTTTGCTCCACGTTATCCCTGGCAGTTTGTTGCTCAGTTTGTTGCTCAGTTTGTTGCTCAGTTTGCTCCACGTTATCCCTAGAAGTCTGTTCCTTAGTATCTATTGTTTTCTCCACGTTATCCCTGGCAGTTTGTTGCTCAGTTTGTTCCAAGTTATCCCTGGCAGTTTGTTGCTCAGTTTGCTCCTCGTTATCCCTGACAGTTTGATATACGGTTTGTTCCACACATTCACTGGAATTTTGTTCCTCAGTCTCTATGGTCTCCATGGCAGCAGTCTCTATAGTTTCTATGGTAACAGTCACTATAGTTTCCATGGCAGCAGTCTCCACGACAGTCTGTTTCTCAGTGTCTGTATGTTTTCTTCTCCTCTTCCTGGGTCTACCAGGCGGTCTCTTTTTCAGAGCTTGACGCCGTTTCTCAAAGTTTTTGTGAATTCGTCCAATTCTCTTTGTGGGTCGTCCCATTTTCACACAACAAGCCAACTCAAAAGTATAGTGTAGCTCTCTCTGAGTCGCGGTCGGTGATGCACATGCGCACAATTACCCAGGACTCGACCTTCGACCTATATTAGTAGTGTCGGTGACTTCCATCTCTCGTTCGCCATGTCTTGGTTTGGGAATATCCGGACGTTCCACGCGTCTGCTCTGAATCTCCTGGCCGGTTCCCTCGCCAAATGTCCCGATCTGCCGTGGGAGAAGGTAATACTAACAGTATTCCCCTGGACTCTAGTGGTTTACTGAGCATTGCTTCTGTTAGTTCTGTAGTTAATTAGGAGTCTCTCTGTCGTTGTGTGGGTGTAGGTCCAGCGTCTAGTGGCCCATTGTCCCCCTCTACCTGACTCCTCCTCTTCCTCTGTGGTCCTCCACGACCGCGGTCTCTCTGGAGTGGTGGCTCTGGGCCTGTTTGCAGTGGAGTCAGAGCTAGCACACCACGGAGTCAAGGTCCTCCACTATCTCCTGCAGCTGCTGGAGAGTCTTCCTAGAGCCTCGTGGGTCCAGAATACCCTGGCCTCTGCCAAGAGAGGTGGGAGGAGGGAATTAGTACAGTGGAACCTCTCTATAATAGACACTAAACTACTGGCACCTTTCTATAAAGGACACTTGCTTTGATATCACTTTTGAGTATTACTGCTGAATAAAGGATACCTCCGTATTTTCCGTGGACCCAGCATGTCATTTATTGCTCATCCAGAGGTTCCACTGTATACTAAAGAATGAAGTAGGGGAAGAGGTATTACAAGGCTGCCATGTTAAGTAAGGCCCTGAGTACTGGATTATGCAAAGATTGGGGAGGGTGGTTTATTTCTCTCTCCAGAGGGTGTGATTGTGGAGCAGTTCTGCTACAAGTTGGGTCTGATCCTGTCCCAGATTGCTGCAACAAACCCTAGTCACAGTTCTAAGGTCGGAGATCACATGACCTTATGCCACTGTCATGTGACTGTCATGTGACCAACAGATAGTGAAGGCTCTACTGGACGTTCTACAGTGGTTCTGTGACCAGTTTATCAAGAGCCTCTCTACAACACCTGGTACTGGCTTTACCCACTGACAGATGTTTATAATAAGCAATGAGGGTAGTTTAACAACTTTATAAAAGTATATACCTAATTAAATTTCACTGATAAGCTGACCTCAATATTAGCTAGTTCAACAAGTCCCAAATTAAGGAGAGGAATTGTTTAGGGAATTCGATCATTTTTTTCCCACAAGGCAGCTAAAATAGTGTATTATGCCACAAAAAGAATTGCGTTGTGATCTTCTCTATGCTTAATGTCTTGTTTCATGTTCCCAACATATCTCCTCCTCCACTATATAAAACTCCCTCTCTCTCTCTCTCTCCAGAGGAGGTGTGTTATGAGACGGTGCCTGCCATCCTTGGTCTGGCCAGAGCCATGAAGGGAACTGCTGAATGCAGAGCTAAGGCCTTCAGAGAGATATGTGGACTAGAAGGAGAGCCAGAGGGAGGAGGAGGAGAAGAAATATCATTTACATTTGACACCGGGGACATTATAAAGTTAAAGAACATGGTAAGCACACGAGAGCTGTACTCTAAAGAAACATGCAAATGAAAATCAGCAGTTGTGTGTGTGAAGAAGAAAGTAAATAGAATTCTCATACGATTTCATCCCGAGTTAGGATTTCTCTTTAGTATCGTTTGTGAGTTAGGGTTTCATGTCAATCTCAGGTGCTCCGGGTGACTGGCTCACAGCAACTGAAACACCTGACGTCAACAGCCGAGGGTCTCCATGAGGGGGCGGGGCAAGGGGCGGGGCTGCCGTATCGTTCCTCCCTCTCCCAGGTCCTCCACTGCTCACTGGTGACTCTCCTCCGAGATATCGTGACCTCTTGTACCCTGCGTGAGTGACCACACCCACATAATGAACCAATCACAAGCTCCTGGCATATTATTATAATGAGCCAGTGCATTAATAATGAAGTTGGTGCATAACATCATATGAATTGTAGAACTGTGCCGTTCTGCATGGATCTCCCTCTTACCTCCTCCCCCCCCTCAGCCCTGGACCCAGGGTTCTACCACCAGCTGGTGAAGGTGTGTGAGTTAGAGATGGAGGGCGGGGTGAGGGAGCTCGGCAGCAGTGCCAGTGCCTCGTCCAACGAGAGAGCATTCCACGTCATCTGCATCCTCTCTGCCGCCACGGACATGCTCGTCTGGGCCAGCAGGAACGACACAGGTGAGGGGGCATGGCCTGTTGCCACGGCAAACTAACAGCAGGTGAAACCTCTCAATATGTATGTCCTAATTCAGAGGTGGCTCTTATTCAGAGACGCCTAAAAGTGTCTTTCAGGGGTGCCCTTCATTTAGAGGGTCTTTTTGTTTCATCATAGATAATACCGTAACCGAGGGGGTGTATAATGGCTTCACTGTACTCTGTTTCCCCTGTCGGTCTCCCTCTCTCCTCCTCAACTCCCTCTCTCCCTCTCTCCTCTCTCCTCCTCATCTTCCTCTCTCCCTCTCTCCTCCTCAACTCCCTCTCTCCACATACACACAGAGATTGACTCCACGTTCCACCGCCTGTCGTCCCTCCTGACAGTCCACACCTCAAGATTCAACGTTCTGGTCTCTCCTCTCAGAGCAACCATACTAGAGGTACATTCACATGGAGAGATGGCGATCCACCCACTCTTTATTTCTCTCTCGTCGTCAGTTTCTGTGTTAAGAGCATTGTTTACTTGACCTGCTGTACGTAAACAAAATTAATGAAGATAAGTGGAAATCCAAACTGTTTTTAACTCAGCTTATACTGTCCTCTGTTAAAATCTAAGTATATAACCCAGTTACGTACAAAATAATTTTTGTTTTGTCTGTATGCTAGGGAATTATATAGTCCACGATATTGATGTGCAATATATTACTCGTGTGAGTATTCCTCTGTCACAATCTGTGTGCAGGGAATATCATCTCTGGCTGTCAGGTCCCAGACTCTCATTCCAGCCGCCCTCAACACCTACAAGGACCTCCTCTACTCCTCCCTCCTTGCCCGCATGTACAGCGACGCCGTTGCCAGTGGCAACATGGAGTCTGTCCTCACCGCTCGACCGACGTCGTTCCAAATGCTCACGTCGTATCGCCTCACTTCAGTTCACGTCTCGCGGGCCGATGCCTTTGCTTGTGTGCAGTGGACCCTCGGACAGGTCGTCTACAGGTGATCTACCATATGTGTAGCAGGATCGAATCATATTACATCAGGATCAAATCAGGAGTGTTAAGTTGTTGTTAAGTTGTTGTTAGTGAGCCTTGCATAATAGACGTTTGTGGTATACTTCCCAATTGAATGTTTTTAGCTCGTGAGCTTTTGTAGCTATCCTACATCGCATCCTCTTCTTTTGCTTTCTCACTTCCTCACGTGTTGTTGTTGCTGGTGTTCTCACACTATAGCACTCTACAGGCGGCGTGTGAGGGAGGCAGGGAGGTGATGGATGGATTCCTGGCCTCCCTCGGCAACAAACTCTACACCACAGATGCCAACGATAAGTATGTGTAGTGTTTACTAAATCTTTGACATTGCAACAAATTTCAAATTTCACTCCCCTCTGCAGTTTTGCTCTTCGGACTGCCGAATGCATCGTCATGGTACTCGGTCACGTGGCCAGTCACATGGGGTCAAAGTTCAATGTGGTTGCCACGGTGACCGGTATGTTTGGCCAGCGACTGTTCCACCCGACGTCATCTCTGGACGGGAAGTTGGTGGGAGAGCTTGCCAGGATCGCAGCCCACACTGCGGTATTATTATGACATCATGCATTGGTCTGCTTGCAGTGGGACCTTTGAATGGAGGACCCTCCGAATGGAGGGCACCTCTCTATGAAGGACCCTCCGAATGGAGGACACCTCTCTATGAAGGACCCTCCCAATGGAGGACACCTCTCTATGAAGGACACCTCGAATGGAGGGCACTCTCTATGAAGGACACCTCTCCATGAAGGACACCTCTCTATGAATGACACCTCTCTATGAAGGACACCTCTCTATGAAGGACCCTCCGAATGGAGGACACCTCTCTATAAAGGACACCTCTCTATAAAGGACACCTCTCCATGAATGACACTAGAGAATGTATTACAGTGAATAGTAACCTATATGCTCTCCAGTTTCCCTAAGGCTAAGTTGTCCCTTATTCAGAGGTTTTCACTTTACCGTACGATAGTTGTGTTGTTTTATTTCAATGTGTCTGAAGTTCTCTGACTCGTGTGGGAGACATGGGTGAAAGATTCACGCGGTGTTTGGAGGAATGAATACTGTGTTTTACTCAGGATCCAGAGACAATGGAGGAGGTGGTGAGACTAATGAGTCTGTCCCTGGGAGAATCATCTCCTAATAAGGAAAAGAAATATGGGTAAGAAATTAACAAACTCAGTTGTATACAGTGGAACAAGACACCAATGAAACACCCTGTACTTATATGTATGATGCTGTTTTCATTTCCTTTTTTGCCGTTCCCTCTTCCAGGCACATTTACCAGCCGATGATGGACTCGTTAACATTCCTGGCCCGTTACCTGGGAGACGGGGAGCAGAGGCGAGAACTCCTACTGAAGACGTTGCAGCAGTTCATCCAACAGGGGATCATGGCCAAGAAGGCCAGCGACTCCACCCAGAGCACTCATAAGGTCTGCCCCTTTGATTGTCATCACCTGATTGTCATGAGGATATCATGTGATGTGTGCTCTAACGCAGGCTACTTCAAGTTCATTCAGTCTGGGGTTGCTCCTACCAATTATTGCAGGGGTAAGCTAATTAAAAATTTGCAATTTACAACGCATGGAGGACAGCTAACTATATACAAATGTGATTGCAACTGATCGTATCAATCTTTTAACTAATGATCAGCATTGTTTCTTGGCTGTTTTATTCACATCAGGGTGTAGAACACTTGTAATACAGTAGTAATTTCTCTCTCTCTCTCTCTGTCTGTCTCTGTGGCAGCTGGCTGAAAGGGTGGAGCCATTCACCGACCCACCAAAAAAGGTCATAGTCATCTTCAGAGATTTCTGGCTCTACTGTGTCGTCATGGGTTTCAGCGAGTCGGCCGGGGTGTTCCCAGCCGGCTGGTACCGCAGCGTGCAGGCCGTGGCGAGGAAATCTCCTCTCCTCCTCTCCATGGGGGCAGGGCAGTTCCTGGACAAGGAGCTGGAGTTGAACAGACCTCTCAGGATCGAGAGTATTGGACAGGTGTGTGTGTGTGAGAGGGGGGAGGGGGGATAGCATAGGGTGAGATGAGAACGTAGGAATAAGGAAAGAGAGAAAGAAATGAAACAGCGAGATTGGGTGAAACACAGGAACTGTTCGTCTTTTTAGTGGAGTCAATTCATCTTTGCCAAGTGTCTCTATTCAGGGAGACGTGCAGGAGGCACGGCAGAGCCTGCTGGACGGGTTGGACCGGTCTCTGGAACTGGACAGACTGGTTGTGCGACTCTCGTTCTCCCAGTGTCTCTACCTCATCTCCATACACCGTCTCGAGACACTCAGGTCCATACCACCCACCACTGCTGGTCATGTGACTTTGACGTTTAACCCCTTCCCCTCCACAGACTGGAGACTAGTACAAAGAACTTTCCTCTGGTGTTCAACTATCTGGAGGACAAGGGGCTGCAGGGAGAGCTATGGGGTGAACCTCTCTCTCTCTCATCTCTCGTCTCTCTTCCTTCTCTACTGCATATGTACTTACATCCTCTGCCACTTCCTCTCTTAGTGTTTTTTTCCACCATTCTTCCACAGTCGCCATTGAGAAGATTGCTCACAAGCTGTTTGACCAGTACATAGAGCAGATGCAAGCCAAGGTGTGTGCCCCATGCCCCATTCCCCCATTCCCCCATTCCCCATTCCCCCATACTCCACTCCCCACTCCTCCATTCTCCGCGCCCCAGACTGCGACTGAGGAGAGTGCGGCTGAGCTGGAGTCCCTCACCGAGCTGCTGGTGTTCAAGTTCAACCACATACGAGGCAGAATAAAACAACTGGCTGACAAGTTCATCAGCAAAGTCGTCGACAAGTGAGAAATCTTAGTTCACTCGAATTGTAAACTTTCAAAGCCTCTATTGTTCCACATTTAGTCTTCTCCATTTTACAGTATCTATTCATGTTTATAGCATTCTTCCTTCCTCGGTTCTCCCATTCCTCTATTCCCCATGTCAGGTTCTCCCATTCCTCATTCCTCTATTCCCCCATGTCAGGTTCTCCCATTCCTCATTCCTCTATTCCCCATGTCAGGTTCTCCCACCTCCTGTGGAGCAGAAGAGTAGTTTACACAATGCTAGATCTCCTCCACCAACTCTCGCTCTCTCTACACACCATGGTAACCCCTCAGTCACATGACCCTCATGTGATCCAGTCATGTGATCCAGTCATGTGACCCCCACTCCAGGACCCGGACAGACGTCGCAGTCTGGTGGTCACCCTCCCTGATCTTCCCCACTCTGTCACTGTTCCTGAGAACGCCACCAAGCGAGAGGTCTGCTACATATTATGTGCTGTCTTTGTGGTGTGCATGGTGTCCTCCTGTTGTAGATCTTTTTCTCAGTCACTTAATTCCTATCATTTGCACTGCACACTCCAATTATAGTGGGATTATTTGTTGGCCTGTCCTTCCCTCCACTAGCTAGCAAAAAGTACAAACCATTTAAGCCACCCATACAATTATTTTTGCAGAAAACAGTCAGTTACTTTGCTCAGAGAGTGGAGCAAATCCTGGAGCTTGCCATGCGTTGGTCGCCACGGGAAACGACCTCTATCCTCCTCGAGTACGTCCGATCAGTCGCAAGCTCCGCCCACCACTCCGGCGTCTCCCTGGCAACTGCCCAGATCAACAACTACTTTGACCTCAACCCTCACAACAAGCACGTACCAGTGAGTGAGAGGGTGCAATCACCTGGTCAGCAGTAATATCTTTTGCATTCTACCGCCATTTCATCTGCGTCGTCAGGCGCTCCACGCGAGCGTCGCTAGGCTCCACCAAGTGAAGCTTGTACTACTTGAAGTACAGATGAATGACTATATATGGAAATATCTTTGTCTTAAGCAGGTCTTCAAACTAGCAAAAATAATATCTGAAGACGTACATATACAATAAAGGTTGGAGCGTATGAAGAGTTTTTACATTGTATTGTTGTATGGATTTTTTTCATGGATATCTGCATTGGTTTCATGTTATGACTGACTGCCTAGTATTTCTTCCCCGCAGCCGGTTGTGAGTGAGAGTCGACCATCTTGTGTGAAGGACCATCTCTCCCTCCTCTCCTCCTCCCTCCATCGCCGAACCCACCACAGCGGGGAGGTCGCCGGAATGATGACAGCTGCTTCAATCATGGCAGGGGTCTCCCCCGGTAACGAGGGGAGGGAGAAGCAGGAGACGTGGCTAAACTTGCAGCTGTATTTACCTCGCAACTCAGAGATGCTCTCAGGAATGGTATGAAGGATACAAAAAAAGGAAAAAAAACTCGGGGAAATTTTGAGATGTGAAGTTTAGGATGTGTGTCCCAGACAAAGGTTTTTTGCATGTCTGTCTTTGTTCATGCTTTCCCTTGGAATATCAGGGCATTGTATTTTAATTATGTGAAAATACAAGTAAAAAAAGAATGTAGAATGAGAATGAACAGTAAAATAATAAGAATCAGAATGTTAGAATGGCACCGGGATTGAATGAGTGTGGAATGGCAGTATGAGAATGGGGTTCCCCGCAGGGTCTGACGACCAGTTGGTGACCTCTCTGTCCCGCTGCACTGCTCTCCTCCTCCACTCCTGCCCCTCTCCTCCCTCCCCTCTCCCCCAACTCCATCCACCGCTCACTCCTCTCCGCCATCACCCAACTCCCCGTGAAGACCTTCACCGACAACGCCATAACAACCGCCGTCAGTGCTGGCAGTGGCTCCTTCAGCTGC